AAGGGAGTCATTGTTATTATTCCCATTTTATAGATGGGTCAATTGATGCAAAGAAGAGACAATGACTCACCCGACACCATAGTTTGGGTCAATGCCAGATTCAGGATTGCTGTTCAGGATCCCTGTGTCCCAGGCTTGTGCTCAGCCCATTGGACCAGGACTTTGGCTTTTCAAATTATTTCTACTTCAAACTATTTGGGAACAATATTTATGGGCAGGGGAAATGGAATTAAGCGGCCACTATTCTTAATCTCTTAATGTCTAATTCCTCTGCATTACACTGAAATTGTCCCCCTTCCTATCAGATGTGTATCATATAGTCAACACTGGCAGATTCCTCTAACATTGTGATCCTCTCCTGTCTTGGCACAAATGCCATCTTGTGCTGCTCATGCTGTAGGATAGCTTGACACTGACAGCTGCATTAAAAGTACAAAAACAAACAAAAATATCAATTCACAGAGAAACATGAATGGGTGGGGTTTGTGTGTGGGGGGGGGTCCATCAGGAATGCAGCATCCCTTTTTTATATTATTCTGCTATTTTTGATCGAGTTGGAAGAAAATCAATAAAAAAAAGCACACAAATTTACATGAGTACACAGTTGGGGAGGTGTCATACCATACCTAATCATGTTGGTTCTATACTGTATATTAAATGCTAGAACTGCTCAGCTTTGTACATCCAAGGGTCAGCACATTCAAAGCCCAGCTAGACAATAAATAAGAGCCGGTATGGCCTAGTGCACATCATACTAGAATAGGGCTCAGGAGACCTTGGTTCTCGTCTGCCATTAACCTACTGAGTGACCTTAGGCAAATAACTTCACCTCCCCGTGCCTCAGTTTCCCCCCAATGACCTCCTTTGTAAAGCACTTTGAAATCTACTGGTGGAAGTATTGTTTAAGAGCTAGGAGTTATTATTGTTACCTGGTGAACAAAGACAAACTACTCTTATCTGATAGAAATGATGAAAGAAGAGACTATTTAAAATGGATAAAAGGGTATTCTGCACCACTCTCAGTGCAATGTAGAAAATTTACTTCTCATGCCATAACAGCCAACAGAAGCAATACTTGAGTTTACCAACTATCTAAAATCTCACCTTCTGTGTGTTAGCTCACATGTAGCTACTGGAACTGATCTTTTAATTTGTTGGTGGGTGCCTGATCATAGATCTGTCATATTAAGAATGTGTGCATTGCCAAATAATAATAATAATTAATAATTAATTTAAAAAAAGGAAACAGCATTTTAAATCACCTTGGTGGGGGAGGCAAAATCAAAAGGTCTGCCCCAGTGAGAGGTATGGATAAACATACTGTGAATAAGCAGGTTTCAGAGTAGCAGCCGTGTTAGTCTGTATCCGCAAAAAGAACAGGAGTACTTGTGGCACCTTAGAGACTAACCAATTTATTTGAGCATAAGCTTTCGCGAGCTACAGCTCACTTCATCTGATGCAGACAGTGTGGATGGATAGATAAGCACTTCCAACCATTCCTGTCAAAAATGATGCACAAGTGCGATTCACTGATCCAAGCCAAAAGATAACTCAACACAATCGCGTGAGTTGTGCAGAGGAAGCTCTCTGAGTTCTCAGGGCTCAGGAGGACATCTCTTGTGTATGCACATTTGAATCATGATGACTAGCTTTCCCAGAAAGAATACACCTAGGCATAACACCAGGAAAAGGACATGAAACAATCTTCCCTGAGAGAAAATACAGGGGAGCCAGGCCTGAAACTCTTACTCAAGCAAGGAGAAGTTGCAGGATCAAGTCCAAAAGATTATACTAGATGGCTGAGCAGACATATATTCAGTTTAATACACTCTGCCTTAAAACATCAGAAAAATATACATTCAAATTGATGGTAAAATGAGAAAAGCAAGATATTGTAGCTAATACAACCTGGGCCTATTTTTCACAGGTACTGAACCCCCCACCCCTTGACTTCAACTAAAGTTATACATGCTCAGCATCCTTGAAAATCAGGTCCTAAAATGGTAGCAAATTACCCTTTACTATCGTGATATCCTGAGGCACAATGAGGGATATTCTGGATCAAATGGGAGCTCCTTAACAAAAACAGTAATGTCATTTTTTGTGTGTTATTTTCTCCATATGATAGTATAAATTAAATGCAAAACCACCACTTTAATGCCAAATTGAGATTTCACTAGCACTATAATCATCAGGAAATGTACAGTTAAAGTTCCCACGGCAGCTTTAACCTGCCCTATTATGCCTATGCACTACTGTAGGGTCTTTGCTGTTAGACTTACAAATTACCCACTTCTGAAGGGCAGAAATGATGCAGACTCTAACATCTGTGATGCCTGATGTCATGATAAGCAATCCTAGACTTCTGATCTGTATTCTCCTGTCACCTCTTCCATATATTCTTCAAAATTGCTTCTTCTAAAATGATCAAAGTTCAGTAAAATCCTTATAGAAGGAATAATGGCACAGAGACTGCTAAGAGAAGTTGACTCATTGTTTCTGTTAGAGAACAATTTGTAATGGTATTCGTGCCTTGGTTGATCACTTCTCTTCAAGTGACTAGCCCTCTGAGTAACACATAAAAATGTCTGCTCTGGCATGAGCTAGCAGTGCTTCACATTACTTTCACCATGCCGAGAACTCACACAGAAATCCAATTTCTAGGCTCACTAACCATTTCGATCTAGTACTAATTCCCCTAATACTGTTATAACCTTTCAGCATTTTCCTTATTCTCTTCCTGTATAGAGACTTGCATGTTTTAGAGGAACAGTTTTCACACTCACTATATGCCTCTGGTCATTACAACCTTTCTGTCACTTTTTCAGTTGTGATGAGGAATGCAAACCCCACATACTCTTGGCAAACCAAGAGTTAATTAAACCCCTGTCCCAAGCCAGCCAGAGGCTCTACAGCTGGTAGTGGCAGCCAAGCAATTAGGGCTTGTCAACATCCCTCAGATAAACTCCTGCTGTATATCAAATCCTATTGTTACCTGGTCCCCCAGAGGCTGGGGAGGTTATAATATCAGAACTGCAGGCTGCAAAGAGCTCTCTGTTTTCTTTTTGCCTGACCCAAACCTTATGCTTCTGTTTTGAACTGTGGGTGAAGAAAGCCTTATCTTTTGGGGAAGATGAATGCTCCATTTATTTTACTGAGTTCTTAACTCTGAAGCCTTTTGCGTGGGGGGGAGAGACTACCACCACCACAGGAGAGGACTCTGTGTGGTGGGACTGCCACTCTACGGTGGCTCTGCAGGGGTGATTATCAGAAGGAGGCCTCCTCCCCAACTCTGCGTTAGCTCCAAGCCACACAAGCAGACGACTGGCCGAGTCTTTGTTCCTTTGGGACTCCAGACTGCCTGAAGACAGGAAGTGTTGGACTGAAGAGGCCATATCCAGCTCCCCACCTCAAACTCATCCGTGAAGCAGGCTAGGTGCACATTATGGAACAATCTGTTCCATTGTACTCTAATGCAGTGGATTGCTTCCATCCTGTGCACACCCTGAAACATCCCAGGAGAGACTGTGCACTATCCCACATACCAGGAAGTGGCACAAATGCCACAATCTAGCCCAAAGAGGCATTTTTTAACACTGGCTGTGCAATCGTTCTTGTTCATTACAATGTTTTCTGTCTTCTTATTCTGTTTCTTTTAAATTTCATTTCTGATGCTTAAATCCAAGCAAACAGACTCGAAATCCAAAAAGTCAGATGAAGCAGAGTGTTTAAGATTCAGTTTTGAGTGATTATATTCCATCTCCACATAATCTCTCCATTTTCAACTAGAGAAGTTATTCTTCTTCACTTCCTGTCCTGAACTGCATTTTATGTAGTGTGTTTTGTTAAACAGTGACTGCATTCCACCCCAGAGGCAGCTGCATTTCATTGGTGCATGAAGTGATTCCTAAATGTACAATTTGAAAATCAGTTTGGGGATTTTTGGGGATGCAAAGTACTACAGAAAAAAATTAATTTTCACATGTTTTTAATTGCAGAACAAGGAAAAATACCCTGGAAATCCTGGGGATACTTTGAAGCACTCTCTTGAGGTAGTGGGTTGCATTTTAAAGGTGGTTTTCAGTGCAGGTTTCACTCTAACTCAAAATGTTAAATCATTGTTTTGATAAGGGCTCAGAATTAGCTCTAGTCAAACAATGCCAATGATCTTTCTCAGGATTCTTTTAAAATTAATTTTATTAAAATTTCCTGTAATTTTTTTTTCCATGAAGAACAAAAGCCGCTTTTCAGTAAAAATGTTTGGCTTTTGGTAACATTTTTTATGTTAAATAATCAAAACCAGATACTTTTACAGTAAGCTGAAAAATCTCACCAAAAACCAATTTCCAGTTCCGGAGTTTCTTTTTGACCAGCATTTCTGTGAAAATTTTCATGTTAGTCAAAAGGCCATTTTTGTTCAAAAAAGTGTTCTGACAAAAAAAAACTGACCAGCTGTAATCACAATATAGAGAGGGCATGAGAACAGAGGAGAGGAGGTACTCTGCACAACATAAAAATAACTCAGGGCACAAAGTTACTCTCTTTCAACACATATACTTTGATTCAGGTGGATAAGCTATACAAATGCACATACACTGCTGACACTTTTACATGGGAATGGAGAGGCTAACTCTTTAAGACAGGAGCTGTGATTTATTCACTTTCATTGTATCAGGATGACTCTCAATGTTCAAATATGCTTTTTTCCATGTATGAGAAATGATAATGTAATCAAGGCCAATGCTGGACTGCAAAGTCATTTCTCCCCTTCCCCCACAGCAGTTTGTGTTATTTGTAAATATAACAGTAGCAAAGATCCACAGATCTGTTATTCAGTGTCTCTTGATTTCCCTGTTTTATTTTGTGCCCCTTATCGATACTTTTCAGAGCTCAGGGCTGAAATGAAACATAATGGGAGCCTGGAAGCATTGTCTGCATCTCAACTAGGGTCTTGGCATTTGGTAACAACACCAGGTTGTCTTTTTTTTTTTTTTCCTTCTTCTCCAGAGCAAAACAGCTTGGGAGTGTTTGAGCATGAAGTGGTGCCAGAGAACTTGTAGTTGAACTGGCCTTAACCCCTACTGCGGAGCTACAAGACATTAGTACTGGGGAGTCCAAAGATCTAGACACAAGAAGAAGAAAAACTAAATGAAAATCAAAAATAAAGGGAAAACATGCTTAATTTTCTATCAGCTAATAGCTGAATGTTACTCAAAACACTCCATATATTGTTAAACAGTTGCTGCATAATGCTGAGATATCTTTCTTTCATGTTATGTTTATGCTCTGCATGACTGTACAAAATCCTCCTCATGTCCTGCAAGCTTCTCTGATGTAAGGCTCATGAGACCCTTCAGTACCACAATGAGGTGAGTGAACGATTGATTAATGATGAAATTAGTTGACATACCAATAATGGCTATTTGACTGATTGCTTTTTGTTTGGTTTATATTCCTGGGGTGGGGGTGGGGGGAACTGAGTTTGTTTCTGATGCCTGAAAACATATAATTTGTGATAGAAAAGAATCTCTGTAGAAGAGATTTTTTAAACTAGGCTTGGCAGATGCACATAAATAAATGTGCACATCGAATGCACATTAATACATTAGTTATTCACTCAGTCATTCAGATGAGTGGACTCATTTATCTAGTCCACAAATATGTCATAGTCTAGAACCATAGTAGCAATATTAGTGGAAGGTTGAAAACATTTAAAATCTTCTGACTCTGCACTTTATATTCCCCTCCAAAAATGTAAACGCTAGGGATTTGCTATGTACAAATGTTTTCATCACTTATTCACAAAAGGCAAACTGTCCATCGTGTTGCTACTGGAGACAGCAGATAAATGCAAGGTCTGAGATAAAATATGGGCAAAATTCACAAACCTATTCTTATGCTCTGCAATCTATATAGATACACGTAAATAAAAAGCTTCATTTTTAAAGGCACTGTCATCAACTTCAATGGGCACTATAGGAAGCCAGGTACATGGTCTTTATGAAACAAAAATGGTGCTTTATTTAAAAAGAACTCTAAAAATATGACTAAATATACCAAATGGCAATTTCCCCCCCGCTTTTAATGTTTTTTTTCCCCTCAAAGCATGTATATTGTGTACGGCTACACTGGGATCTTAGTTAAAATGGTATAAATCTGGAGTAACTCCACTGAAGCGAATGCTGCTATTCCAGATTTACACTAATGTAATTGAGGTAACAATCTGGTCCCTAATGGTTACTGACACAGATAACTCCCACATCAGGACTGGATCACATGCATTTCTCTGAAAAACCCAACATATTCCAAAGCACATACACAACTACATGCATACACACTCATCAACATGTATAATGAACTTTTGTAGATTTCACTTTACTTTTCCAGGACTCTTTTTTTCTTTGCTGGTAAGAGAGAGAGAGAGAAGATTTTTTTTCCCTTTTAACTTCCCAATATTTGATATAGAACCGAGGCAGAGAGCTGCCTGCACATCAAGTTAGTTTATGTTCCATGCAACGTTACCATAAAGCACAATATAACATGATAGATAAGAAAAAAACAAACTATTTGCTAATGTGAACAGCAAATACATGATCTAAATTCTTACTAGGCAATTAGCTGATTGCTCTTGTGAGGCAGTGACAAAGCTGTGATAGTTGGAGTCAATTTGGATTTGTGGTGGTTGAGTCCCAGCACACCTCAAGAGCAAATAGAGTCTGCTCTGATAGTTCCCATGGTTCAGGTAAATAAGTAACTAAACAACTGCTCCATCTCTATTATTTATTCCTCAAATACCAGTCCGAGGGGGTAGCAAAGCATTAGAGGGGAAAAATTTATATGAGGATATTCCCAAATGGATTTGTGCAGAAATGGATAATTAAGTAATGACAAATTACAAAACAATCTGTACATCTAGTAACTGAAAGAAAATGCAATAATAAATGTTCATTAGTTTTGCATTCTAAATTCTGTTTACCTACTATGAATAGACTAGTGTATTTTTAACTCATATCATAGACTACTCTTTATCTGCCTCTCTTTATCTCTTGCTACAAAGAAGCTATGCATATATTAATATATAATACCATAAAATGTGTCATTTTTTACACAATAGGCTGTAGGAAGCTATGTCTTTCCAAAAAGGTAAATCCACAGCAAAATATACTCCTAATATAGAAGAAAATGGGACTTAAACTATCCTCAGCAAACATCATTGGCAAAGCTTCATTAGCATGTATTTTCACATAATTCAATTAGCCAAAATACATACAAATGCTAGCAGTGATGTTCTCCTCACTGGGAGTGTCAGGGAAGCTTTAAACAGATCTGAAACAAAATTGCATAAATGGCATGTAAAGCCCTGTGCATACAAAGATACCTTCAGGGTTCTAATAAATTCATGAAACTTTTTAAAGTATGATTTCCTAGCAGGCAATCACTTTTAATTAACAGGATCACCTACAGCAACACATGTCCTTCAAAAACTTACATTATTTTTTCTTTTGAATTTCAAAGTTTCTGTAGTAAAAGTTGAATAGCTGAGTAGCTTAACCTCAAAAGGATTGCAGGCTTTTATGACAGTTATAAACCACTGTGGTGCCTTCTTTATAAGAAGAAAAGATTCTTAACACAACAGAGAAAGAAGGAAATCTCTTTTTAGTCATAGCTAGAAGCAAGCATTTCCTCCAAAGGTCAGAAAACTTTTCCTCAGTTAAAGAATATTTTTAAGGACATTGCAGCTACTTGTACATGTAATCTCTGGTAATTTGCTATATGAATTAAACATTCAATTTCCAGTATTTATTATATTATACGTTGTAGATCTCTCCTTTTCAGCAGATGGCTTTGTATAGTTTTTAGTGTACAGTGTTAGTAAACATGGGGGTAAATGGGTGGAAGTGGCTTCCTTAATGAGCCTTGGTTGATGGAAAGTCATGGGATGCTCTTCTCTTTGTTCAGAAAATGTATTTGTTTATTTATTGAGCTAGTCACACAGCTCTGCTTCATTGAGGTGACACTTGTTGATTGCTCAGAAGGGTCCTATTTCCATTCTCCAAGACTTGGTGACTCTCCTGACCTGCAGAGATAAAGTGACAAAATATTCAAAAATGTATAGAACAGCCAAAATGTGGGAGAAATGTGAAGACAAATTGTTAGAGCCAAAGACAGAATTTCCAAGTTGCCAAAACCTGCTCACCTCCTTACTCAACTCAGGTGAGTCTTTCATTGATGTCAGCATGTGAGGAAGATGAGCAGGATTTGGCTAATTGATTGAAATGGACCTACAGAGAAGTGTAGTAAGTGAAAGCCTCAGTCTACCATTTTGGTCTAGGATATTTTGTGATCTATTGTGGATTGGCTGCATTACTTATTGTAAATATATATATATATATATTTTCCCCTTGCTTCTTCCCCCCACTTTGCCATCCTCAGGTTGCTTTGCAACATAAGGAATGAACCAGAGGCTGACTGAATATCCTGTGGGTGAACAGTCAATTTTTGATGATCCAGCCTGCTTGCTGAGGGCACGATGTGGAGGATGAAAATGCTAGCAAGATTTTCTTGGGTCTCTTTTGTGGCTTGGAAGAGAACAAATTTGGTCGAGACATGAGAGTGGAGAGAGGAAGATCAGCCATATCTTTCTCTTCCTTTCTGCTCTGTGAAGAACACACCTTAGGAACTGTGTAATGGGGGAGCTTTTCCAAGGCACAAATGGCATTTAGGCACCTAACTCCCCTAGGAGCCTTTGAGAATCTCACCCAGGATTTAGTTCTATGGGGTAGACAGATTTCTGAAGAATAGGTCAAAAGTGTGAAAGAGCCTGTTCCTAAATCAAACAGCATTTCTGTTCAACAAAGTGCTGAGTTCATAACACACCAAATAAATTGATGCTTTTGGAATAAACATGTGAGTTCAAAGTCATATGGCATAAAAGTATTGCTCCTGTTGTAAATATCATCATCCATCTCTGTCCAGGTTTTTATACTGCACCCATCACTTTGGTGTAGAAGCACCTCACAGATTTATACCAGGGTAATCGCTACAAACTCTGCCTCTTGTCGCTGCAGTGAACAAATTATAAGTGCACTCCCACACTGTGCGATGTTCAGCACACTCCCATTCCGAAGCTTTGTCCCCTGAAGTATGCTTCCCCCATCCACCTGGAACAGGTTCCTTCTTACCCCTTCAGCACCTTCTCTCTCTTTTTAAAAATCTATGTAGTCAACCAACCCTTCTTATTGGTAACCATTCCCACATCCTCCCTCCACCAAACTGTTGTCCTCTGTCTTATATTGTGTTTGTCTCATCTTTGGTTCAGGAAGCATTTGCCTAATTCTAGGCAAAATCTTTAGAGGGTCTGAGCACCTGGAACTCCAAGTGACTTGAGTTATAGGTGCTTAGGATTTGGCCTTATGTTCATATGGGGCAGTACTGTCAACTTATTACAATACATAAAGAGAGAGGCAGCACGGTCCAGTGGATTGTGCCCTGGAATGGGATCCAGGAGACACGGATCCTCTTCCCAGTTCTGCCAAGGACCTGCTATGTGACTTTGGGCAAGTCACCTCTCTGTTTCTCCTCCCGCCATTTTTTTGTCTTGTCTATTTAGACTGCAAGCTCTTTGGAGCAGGGGCTGTTTCTCACTATGTGTTTGTACAGTGCCTAGCACAATGGAGCCTTGATCTTGGCTAGGACCTCTGGGCTGTACTGTAATACAAATAATAAATGAATAAATGAATTTATTATTCTTAATAACATAGCAGGTTACCTCATTTCTCTTGAAGTTTTACCACTTAAGAACTCAAACAAAGCATTTAGCCTACAGAGCCTATTGTACATATCCAATTATTTTGGAATGACAGATGTTTATATCAGTTCAATAGCCTGAATTTTGCTGTGGTTTGATTGGAAGTGGTAACCCTTTCTGTGTCTAATATAGACATATATCTCTCTCAAAGGTGTTGACATGGATTACTGTATATTGTACTGTAGCCAGCAGCTGGATTATAAAGGACAACTACTGGACAATTAAAAAGCATTGAGAAGGACACAGCTACATCACAGTGATCAAAATATGACAGAATAAATTAGCATCACGCAAAGTTAGGCAATGTTTAATTCATAGAATGCGCCTATATTTAGCTACCTTATTATTTGTAATATAATCCATCCATTTATTGAAGGTTAACACCAAGTATTACTCCTGGGTATTTGGGAGACATGTCACAGGTCAGTGAAGCCCTTCTGATCTCCAGCTACTAGATGGACCGAATTTGCTGGAAGGAAAAAAATGGTGTAAGCAAGTTGGATAAAGATAGAATTCTAATTGTTGTTAAGATACGTTATTCCATGTGCTTTTTCTGAGTAAAGAATACCAGAGACAAAAGAAAGGTAATGAGTGGTTAATAAAAGAATGGTATTCTCTGCCTTCATAAATACAGTGCTGTTGCTTTCACACATACACAGGTGGATGATAATGATTGAAGAGAAGGGGAGCTGCTGTTGACTATTGAGGCACTCCAGGAAACAGTGGAACAAGGTCTGACAAGGCGCTCTTGAAAGAAACCCTTTGAAAATGATGAAGGAGGAGGAGTGTGGAGAAGACAAAGCATCAAAACGGCAGAGTTTGAGTTGAGCCGTTAAAAGGTGAGTGTCCTAAGACGGTACCTGAGAAATTATGTTTGTTCTGTGCTGATGCGATCAAAAATAGAGCTGGGCTTATTGAATGGAAAGTAGGGCTGTCAATTAATTGCAGTTAACTCATGTGATTATCTAAAAAAAAATTAATCATGATTTAAAAAATTAATTGCAATTAATCACAGTTTTAATTGCACTGTTAAACACTAGAATACCAATTGAAATGTATTAGCTATTTTACATTTTCATACATATTGTATTCTGTGTTGTAATTGAAATCAAAGTGTATATTATTTTTGATTATAAATATTTGCACTGTAAAAATGATAAACAAAAGAAATAGTATTTTTCAGTTCACCTCATACAAGTACTGTCGTGCAATCTCTTTGTCCTGAAAGTGCAACTTACAGATGTAGATTTCTTTTTGTTACATAACTTCACTCAAAAACAAACAATGTAAAACTTCAGAGCCTACAAGTCCACTCAGTACTACTTCTTGTTCAGCCAACCACTAAGACAAACAAGTTTGGTTACATTTACAGGAGATAATGCTGCCCTCTTCTTATTTAAAATGTCACCAGAAAGTGACAATGGGCATTTGCATGGCAGTTTTGTAGCCAGTATTGCAATGTATTTACGTGCCAGATATGCTAAACATTTGTATGCCCCTTCATGCTTTGGCCACCATTCCAGAGGACATGCTTCCATGCTGATGATGCTTGTTCAAAAAAAAAAATTGCGTTAATTAAATTTGTGACTGAACTCCTTCGGGGAGAATTATTTTATCTGCATTCTGACATATATTTCATGTTATAGCGGTCTCGGATGATGACCCAGCACATCTTGTTCATTTTAAGGACACTTTCACTGTAGATTTGACAAAACGCAAGGAAGGTACCAGTGTGAGATTTCTAAAGATAGCTACAGCACTCGACCCAAGGTTTAAGAATCTGAAGTGCCTTCCAAAATCTAAGAGAGACGAGGTGTGGCGCATGCTTTCAGATGTCTTAAAAGAGCAGCACTCCAACGCGGAAACTACAGAATCCGAACCACCAAAAAAAAACCAACAACCTTCAGCTGGTGACATCCGATTCAAATAATGAAAACGAACATGTGTCAGTCTGCACTGCTTTGGATTGTTAACGAGCAGAACCCATCATCAGCATGGACGCATGGCCTCTGGAATGGTGGTTGAAGCATGAAGGGAGATATGAATCTTTAGCGCATCTGGCATGTAAATATCTTGTAACGCTGGCTACAACAGTGCCATGAGAACGCCTGTTCTCACATTCAGGTGACATTGTAAACAAGAAGCAGGCAGCATTATCTCCTGCAAATGTAAGCAAACTTGTTTGTCTGAGCAATTGGCTGAACAAGAAGTAGGACTGAGTGGATTTGCAGGCTCTAAAATTTTACATTGTTTTATGTTTGAATGCAGGTTTTTTCCTACATAATTCTACATTTGTAAATTCAACTTTCGTGATAAAGAGATTGCACTACAGTACTTGCATTAGATGAATTGAAAAATACTATTTTGTTTTTTTACAGTGCACATATATAAATATAAAGTGAGCACTGTACACTTTGTATTCTGTGTTGTCATAGAAATCCATATATTTGAAAAGGTAGAAAACATCCAAAAATATTTAAATAAATGGTATTCTATTTGTTTAATAGTGCGATTAATCGCAATTCATTTTTTAAATCGCGATTAATTGCGATTAATTTTTTTAATCACTTGACAGCCCTAATGGAAAGCATAATACACTAATCAGATTGGTCAAGTTGAATTAAATTGTTATTAGGTAGGGGTCACTGGGCTGGATTATATATTATTTTTATGTATTTTTGATAATGTTTCAAGGAATTAGCTATAAGATTTTGAAAGAGCTATATTTTATATATCATCAAGCCACCTGGGGATGTTGAAGGTGCCAACTTGGTGGTATCTAAGCACTGGAGGGAGGGAGGGCTGATTTTCAAAAGTGCTGAGCATCAACAGACCCTGTTGACTTCAAATAGATTTTTGATACTTGTCACATCTGAAAATCAGGCCCTAAATTGCTGGCCAGTAAGGGGCTGGGTGTTACTGGGAGGGGATAGGAGAAGTAGGGAAAGAGGTAATGGATTTTTAGGAAGAGAAAACTAGGTATTTTATCCAGGAAACTAAGCTCAGATTGTGGGAAATATTTTGGCCCCTTCCTCTTTAAAAATGCACTAGAGAAAAACATACAATTGAAAAGCTGCTTGGGGACTTGTGGATCTGAACAGACACCCTCTTTCTGCCCTCGTCTAGTGGTGCCACGAAAGGGTCAGGGGCAATGTTCCCTCTAATTTTTTACAGGTTGTGTGTGCAAAAAATTTCTTCAGTGCAAATTGTTGTGTGCGCAGTGTTTCGGATCTGTGTGCGTGTACACACGCTCACAGCTTAGAGGGAACAGTGGTTAGGTCAAGGCCTGAACTGGCAACCCTGGCTGTGGATCTGCAGGAAATCTGGACCCAACCTCCCTTTGTGGAAATCTGATTCACAAAAGGACATTCACACCACACCCCTCTCAGTGTCCTCCACTCTAACTAGGGCAGCAGGGACAGTTTTGTTATCATGTCTGTGTGCTGCTTTCTGTGGCCCCTCCAATGGGGGTTGGGGGTAGTCACAAAGCCTGGTAAGAGTTAATGTTCTCAGCAGAATTGACTAATCCAGCACCAATATTTTACATTGAAACTGAATAAGGCAGAAAGAGGAATCAATAGCATAGAGTGGCAGACCCGTGATTCTGCCTCCTACTCCCTGGCCACTATTCTTTTGCTATGCAGAGTTTCTGCAGAGGGGAGAGTGGCGGCTATGCAGTGGGAGATGCAGTGCTGTGCTTAGGGTATATTGGGCCTGTTTTGAAGACTCAACTCTGCCGCCCGCCCCTACAGCCGCAAAAAAACCCACAATCACCACTACATACTTTTACAGAGGGACCTTCCTAGCCTTCACTAAAGCAATCTCATTGATTAGCTCATTCCTGTCTATCCATCTTGCTTCCAAGTTCTTTATAGAAACAACTGCCAGGTCACTCAACTTCTCCTGCCCAATGGACATTCTTAGATAGGTCTTGTTTAATTTTAGCTTGCTGCAACTCCTGTTAGTAGCCACAGTTACAATAAGGCAGCAATAATTATGCAGTGCTGTTTCTGTGCTAGGAAAACTTGCATCAATAGACCTTTTGTGAATGTAGCTAAGAAGATCAATGGGCACCTTCATTTCCAAGTCATCCTTAAAGATTCACTTGCAAATAATGATGAAGAGCTCAATCTCATTCTCAGAACTCTTGAGTTTAAATTTCTTATGTGCAACAGACCCAGAAGACCACAATTCCAATAAAAGAAAAGGAGTACTTGTGGCACCTTAGAGACTAACCAATTTATTTGAGCATAAACTTTCGTGAGCTACAGCTCACTTCATCAGATGCATACTGTGGAAAATACAGCTGATGTTTTTATACACACAAGCCATGAAAAAATGGGTGTTTATCACTACAAAAGATTTTCTCTCCCCCCACCCCACTCTCCTGCTGGTAATAGCTTATCTAAAGTGATCACTCCCCTTACAATGTGTATGATAATCAAGGTGGGCCATTTCCAGCACAAATCCAGGTTTTCTCCCCACCCTCCTCAACAAACCCACTCTCCTGTTGGTAATAGCTTATCTAAAGTGATCACTCTCCTTACAATGTGTGTGATAATCAAGGTGGGCCATTTCCAGCACAAATCCAGGGTTTAACAAGAACGTCTGAGGAACGGGGGGGTGGGGGGCAGAAACAAGGGGAAATAGGTTACCTTGCATAATGACTTAGCCACTCCCAGTCTCTATTCAAGCCTAAGTTAATTGTATCCAATTTGCAAATGAATTCCAATTCAGCAGTCTCTCGCTGGAGTCTGGATTTGAAGTTTTTTTGTTTTAAGATGGCGACCTTCATGTCTGTGATTGTGTGACCAGAGAGATTGAAGTGTTCTCCGACTGGTTTATGAATGTTATAATTCTTGACCTCTGATTTGTGTCCATTTATTCTTTTACGTAGAGACTGTCCAGTTTGACCAATGTACATGGCAGAGGGGCATTGCTGGCACATGATGGCATATATCACATTGGTGGATGTGCAGGTGAACGAGCCTCTGATAGTGTGGCTGATGTTATTAGGCCCTGTGATGGTGTCCCCTGAATAGATATGTGGGCACAGTTGGCAACGGGCTTTGTTGCAAGGATAGGTTCCTGGGTTAGTGGTTCTGTTGTGTGGTATGTGGTTGCTGGTGAGTATTCGCTTCAGGTTGGGAGGCTGTCTGTAGGCAAGGACTGGCCTGTCTCCCAAGATTTGTGAGAGTGTTGGGTCATCCTTCAGGATAGGTTGTAGATCCTTAAGAATGCGTTGGAGGGGTTTTAGTTGGGGGCTGAAGGTGACGGCTAGTGGCGTTCTGTTATTTTCTTTGTTAGGCCTGTCCTGTAGTAGGTGACTTCTGGGAACTCTTCTGGCTCTATCAATCTGTTTCTTCACTTCCGCAGGTGGGTATTGTAGTTGTAAGAATGCTTGATAGAGATCTTGTAGGTGTTTGTCTCTGTCTGAGGGTTTGGAGCAAATGTGGTTGTATCTCAGAGCTTGGCTGTAGACAATGGATCTTGTGGTGTGGTAAGAGTGAAAGCTGGAGGCATGTAGGTAGGAATAGCGGTCAGTAGGTTTCCTGTATAGGGTGGTGTTTATGTGACCATCGTTTATTAGCACTGTAGTGTCCAGGAAGTGGATCTCTTGTGTGGACTGGACCAGGCTGAGGTTGATGGTGGGATGGAAATTGTTGAAATCATGGTGGAATTCCTCCAGGGCTTCTTTTCCATGGGTCCAGATGATGAAGATGTCATCAATATAGCACAAGTAGAGTAGGGGCGTTAGGGGACGAGAGCTGAGGAAGCGTTGTTCTAAGTCAGCCATAAAAATGTTGGCATACTGTGGGGCCATGCGGGTACCCATAGC